TTTATAGTTCTCTTCAATGTATAATTTTTTTTAGAGTTCTTGAATTTGAAAAAAACCATTATACTTACTCATCTCAGTTACCTCTTTTCCTCATCCTTTAAGCTATCAATTTTTTAAAATTCTTTTGGGAGAGCTGTCAAGAAAATGACTGATAAAGTAACATAAGTAAAACACAAAAAAAAAAAACTAACTAGCCATTAAGTGTAAATATATGGTTAAATATAGTCGATAGTGAACTTGGTCTATTAAACCAACAAATATGGAGAAGTTAGAGATAAAAATACTTTTATTCTTCATTGTTCATTACTTATCAAGTCTTCTAGACAATGTAATATTTAACTCTAATCTCTTGTATAACTTTGCTATGATATTAATTCATTATGCTTAAAATTATCTATATGTTTTTTCCAGGTAAATTCTTAAATAGATTCATAACATAACTAAGTTATACAACCTCATAGAGCTATGAAGTTAATTAAACTAGGAGACTAGATAATTATAAACAAGTTGATAATAAATTTATTATTCTCATTTTTATAAAATTAATTTAATTTTTATAATTAGTTATAAATTATTTAATTGCCATAAATAAAATTAACATAATCAACTCAAATGACCGTGCAACACCTATCAACTTGGCACCACATAATTGGTAGGTTCAACATTTGATGGGGTGGTAAGACATTGGATCCCATGTAATAATTATATTTATATGAATAAATAATAATTACTCATGCTTAAATCCTTAGATATATCTTCTTGAACAATTGGTGAGCCTCCATCTTTCTAAAGCTCAGGTAAGGTGTCTAAGATGTGCATGGCCTTTCCATGATAAAGCAAAAATACCAATTATTGCGAGAGCTTAGTTTAGTGATCAAGGTATATGTACAAAGAGAAGTAAAAAACTTAGAAACATGGATGAGAGGGATAATGAAAACTTAGTTAATTATAATAGGAGTGTTAAACCAGTTTGATTAGATTTGACTAATATGAAAGGGTTTGAAGAAAGTTGGTTCCTTGGTTTAACCTAGACATTTATAATTAACCAAGGTAAATGATTATGTGAAGCCATATGTTCTATGTAAGAGAATATGTTCTAATGAGCCATTTTAGATTTAGTATGACTTGTCATTAACTTTTGTTCTTTATGGTTTTTTCGGGCTAAGTGTAAGTGTAAATGTGTCCTATAGGTTCAAATGAAACTTATGTCTACTTAAGATTCCTTATTGTGAGGGTTTTATGTTAGTTTATCAATTAGCTCAACTAGGTAACCTAGTTTAACTAGGTGTAATACATTTTTTCATGGGAACCTCTTAGGGAAAACTGAGTTTGAGCATTATCTAGGGTTATAAGTTCTTATTGGGTTAGTTTTGGTCAACTTAAACCAAGAGAGCTAATCTCAAGGCAAGTGTTGTATGCAATTAAAACGTTAGTTGGCTAAGTATTAAAATTATATACTAGAGTGAGACCTTTGGTTCTAGATAAATATTACAAATTTTATAGAATTCCAATTAAAATATCTAAGACACCAAAATAAATTTGTGTTATACCTATGATAAAAAGGTCAAGTAAGATTGATTAGATTTGAACATAATGTTGGGGTTCTTCTTAGGATTTTATTAGGCTAGGTGAAGTGATCATAATGCAAGTGTTAATTAAGAGGACTCACGAAGCATTCTTTGTATGTATTCTATGGTAAGAAGAGTTGTGAATATAATGATAATTAATAGGTCAATTACCTTATTAAAGAAAAGTGGTTTACTTCTGTTAGATGACAAAACATGCTAATGCATCTAAGAGAATGTGCTACAAAATATCTAATCCACTATTTAAACTTTAGGGAAATTTACATATGCAACACAAAAATATCATCTATTTACATACCTCACACCTAAACTTTCATGTTTACATATATAGCACTTTGGTTCTTTAAAGCCCGTCATAAAAATGTGTATCTCAATTTTAAAGAATGGTAATGGTGCTATTTTTTATGTGATATTAAACATTTGAGTGCTATGTGTATAAATATAAAATTTTAGGTGTTAGATTTATAAAGCATAAGAATTGTGTGTAATGTATGTAAATCTTCAATATTTTACTTAAATTGAACAAGTAAAGAAATGAGCTAAAAATGAATAAAGAGACCATCTTAGTGCATAAAAGTTTATCAATTGCAGGTTTCAACAAGCATGAATAGCTTTTATGGATTAATCATATTTTTCATCACACAAGAGGTCAAATAAAGTCATGTTGTTTGTAGTTGAGACACATAAAATCCCATATTTCCTTGGCCACCATATGCACAAAAATAATTCTATTTAATATCAAAAAATTAATAATCATAATAGTAGTTCTTCAATTGCTAGATTTTTATAATTATGCTTTTAGTGTTGGTACTTGAGGAGTATTACATTAAAAAAATTACATGGACATAGATAACTAAATCATGGTCACTAAAATTATTTTTTAATATAGACAATTCACTATTAGAGATAATGTTTGTTTTCACAAAGTTTGTCTAGCACTCACATTAAAAAAAAAGATAAATAGATGAAAATTGGTTATTTATTTTCTATGATCATATATTTCTATTGTTCATAACATAGTCATTGTTGTCAATAACATTGTTCTAAATATAATGATTTTCATACATATGTAATATTTGTTTATATACCTTGCTTTTTGTGAATATTATCATTCTCCTACAATGAGCATTGTTATTTATCTAGTTTTCATTTCATCTTTCATTATGCTCAATAGAAAATTATGTTGTTTAACTTGGATTATATTTTTTATGATGACTATTTATTTAAGAGATCCTTACATTGTCCCCCGTATGCTCCATCATAGCATAATAATTGGAAATTACATATCACAACTTTTGCAGGAAATTTGGGTTGCAATGAAATCATTAATGTTATCATTATATAATTTTACTAGCCCTCAATTAAGCAGATGACCATTGAGTAATAGTTGAATTTGTACTTAAAACTTCAGTAAAGCAAAAAAATAACTTGGTGGACTTTATAATTCATTTCTTATCCTCAATTAATCATGAACCGACCAATATAGATTTTATCATATTTTTAATTAAGAATAGCTTGAGGTCATAGTTTATTTTTATTATTGCTAATATACATTTTCAAAATGGTCCCTTTTATTTTGTATTCAAAATTATTTTATTGATCACATATGGTTTTGAGAAAACAATCAAATTCATGATTTACTCTATAAAATGAAATTAATTACAATTTTTATTTCGTTGAAAAACTTTTTGAGAGCTATCATGATTTCTTTCGGTTGTACGATAAAGTTATAGTCCTCATTTCATCAATAAATGGAGGTTAAATCTTGAGTCAAGAACTCACTTTTGGAAAACGATTAAGATGTTTGGTGGGTAATAGTTTGGAAACTTTTTGTGCTTTATGTTACTACTATAAAATTTGTGCATAATATTTTCTTGCATCACTCATAAATATATTACTTTTATAGTTGTTTGTGGCAAGGAAAAGTTAATTAATATAAAATTTGTACGCAATAGGTTGTGTATTTCTCTACAAATACATTACTTTTAAAATTTTTTATAAAATGAAACATAGAAAATCAATAAAACTTATTACTTTACCCAAGTAATTGTGGTATTAACATTATGGTGCATTTTTTTGGTGAATATTCAAAATCTTTTCATTCTAAAATAAAATAAAAAATTTGAAAATAGTTTATAAAATTAAAGCAATCGTGAGCACTAGTGTGAAATGGTATGAATTTATTCAAGATGATTTTATTTTGATTCGTACTTATTCATAAAGTTTCACACAAAACTCCTAGCTCTACACATGCTAATATTAAAGATTTTAATTAAAGATGGATTGTAGACAAATAAACTCCAATCAATATTTAATTAAAATTTTATTTGAAATGCATTGTTGTAATATATTTAATATTAAAGATGCATTGCTTATTAAAATATCTTTGAGCTTTTCATACTACTAAACAATGCTTTTTAGGTAGGACCGTGTTATTATAGGTTCAACAATTGTTCCATCTCTTTCACTTATTTTTTTATGATGTCTCAAAATATGTGCAATTCATTTCAGTTGACTTCAAACAACCCATATAAGTATTTGATATTTAAGAAAAAAATTTCCTCTAGATGAAAATTCTTGAGTGAACCATGATCACTAGAGGTAGTTGTTTCAACGCTTATTATATGACTAACATTGGTTTAAACCTCTCAAACCTTAGGGGAGTTAATGTTGTCTTGCCTTACAACAGAAGTATCATATTATGCAATAGACTAAAGTCAAGTTACTTAGAATTTCTCACAATATGCCATTGAGCTTTACACTATCTCAACTCCCATGATCTTCCACCAATCTTTAGAGACAAATTTCTCTTTGGCTCATTCATGTCATAAATTCCTTTCCATGTAAATTTTAGGTGTTTGCAACTCTTATACTAGCACATTATGATTTCCTAGTTTATGTAATAAATACATATTATGTTATGTCTTATCAGTCAAATATCATTTTAGAAATGTGCACATTCAGGAGTCTATATAATATTTTCCATGTAGTATGGAGCTTTGTGAAGCAAAACCTCAGCCACTGTATTCTGATAAGGCAGAATTTGCGTCCGTGCATCTCATTGGATGGTTTTGGATATATTAGTAAAAAACTCAAATTGCATGCCCTCCCTTAATTTTAGACGATAATCAGATTTCTCTCCAAATAACTGAATTTTCGTTGGTAATTATTTGCACTTAAGCAGTTACTCGTTGTAAATTCTCAAATTTTAGGCCGCAAAGATCGAAAAATATTACATCAGTATTATGCATGTAGAGCTATGCGTGTAGCCAATAAAATCACGTCACGTGAAAATACAAAAACGATATGATAAGATGAAAGAATATTAATCACGTGTTATTATATGTTATTGATCTATTACTATTTTTAATATTATAACAACATGAATAACATATTTTCTCTCCAGGCCTTCTATCCATCCACGAAATTTGTCTACCGCCATGACAGGGCTCATCCGCTGCTTTCACCCACCACCGCGGTCGAGGTCCGGGGAGATTTCCCGCTGGGCTTGCTTGCCGTCCTTCGAATTTTCCGTTGGTACCCGTGGCTCTGGTCAGTAAGCTTGCTTCTCCGTTTTGTCTGGCTTTTTTTGCTAGAATAAGACCAATACTACATTTTTTTTTTCTGAAGGTTTGTTGGTGTTTTTTTTTTTTTTTGTTGTTGGTGTTTTTTTTTTAACTTTCTTTTGTTGTTTGAGTTTGCGTGCTAATTGTATGGTGAATGTGGTAGATTTAGTGAGCTGATTCGCAAACGGTGTATTGTTTTTCCTCCCGAATTTTTGATTCGCGTGGTTTAGATGGTTGCGTATAGCGAGCTCCGGGGTGTCTGAAAGAAGTTCTGGGATGCAGTTTCCTTTCTTAAGTTGCATTACTTATCAAGATATCAGGCGACCATGGATATTAACTTGAAGCCAAACTATTTTTAAAATTTGATGGGATTTCTTAAAATTTACGCTGAAGGAATATGCTCAGTTTGTCTTAGGGTTTAGGGTTTAGGGTTTGGAAAGATAATGTTGCTTATAATCTAGAATTTTATTTCGTAAGTGTTGTATGATGTGCGCTATTCACACTCCCCACAGAAGAGGTGGGGTGGATGTATTATAATATAAAGCGAGTTAAAATATTTTATACTAATTGTGCTGTCTGCTAAAAATCTTACAAAAATAGAAAGTGAAGGAGGTTTACACTTGCCTCAGCTTTAGGATTTCAGGCATACATGCATGTTAGGGAAGAGAGAGTTGCTTTATATGAAAAGCTGTAGATGAACACATGGGGTCTGGATTAGATTTGAAATTTGCACTATCAATGTAAATTGAGTACAAAGAGTTGTCACCTAATCCAGTCAAGCCAATGTCTTCTCTACTAATGAGTGATCCTTGCATGTTAAATTATTTGGGTGATTGTGACTGCCGCCTCTAGTATTTTGCTGCTTGTCGGACTAGTTGCTCCAAAGGAGCTTGCAAACAACATCCATCGCCTGTACGTGATCTCATTTGCAGATGTATTACAAATCAAATTATTTTTCCCTCTACGCTTCACCCCTTGTGAACCACTCGTCTTTTAAAGTTTCTCTTTTGCAGATGGATATTTCCAAAAAAAAAGGATGACACTAATGCTACTTTTTAATACATCTAAATTAGGAAAAATGAAGAGACTCAAAATCTTTCATCTTTTCACCCATAACTTCAATATGTCACAACCATTGCAGTTATGATGCTGTGATCAACTTCCAATTATTTTTTGATCACTGTTCAGAGATGATGTCCTCTATTAGTGACACTGATTAACATCCTTATGTTGGATAAGAGATTTGGGAGAAGATTACAATGAGAGGGTAGAAGAAAAAGAAAAGATTTGCTATTTGAAAAACTTTGTGTTCTTACATGGCCTCTCCATCAAAAGAAGAGTCATCAATGGAACTTGTACCATGGGCACTACAATTTACCTAACTTGAAGAACAATTCTTATTGTACTAGTTTTTAATATTACATGCATCTAAGTTGGCTAAGTTGCACTTGCATGACATGGAAAATTGTGCTACCTAGGACCTAGCTAGGTCAAATGGGCCAAAATAACTCTCTTGGCTCTTCATATCTAGGTAATTTGACTGCTCCTTCCATATGACAACCAACCCAAAAACTTTGTAAGAGCCCATGAAGATAGGAGGATTAGTTTCAGAATCCTAATAAAATTTTCATTCATATAGGTAGAAGCTAAATTAAACTCAAATGAAATTGGAAACTTAAGCGCTAAATGCTAAACAAGGTAAGCGTTGAAAGAGGCTATATAACACAAACTCAAGGCATTTCAAAATGCCTTAAATGTTGAAAGGACATGCATCTTATATAGACAAGAAGCTATTGTCGGTGAAGCCAAAAGCATCTCCAACAATGAATCACATAAGATCTTAAGATGAAGCAAGATTCTATGATTAGGCAATGTCTACCAAAAATCCATGATGTGAAGGGTGTGCTCAAATCTACATTGCAAAGAGGGAACGACCTCTTTATTCTCATGATATTTGTAATGAAATACATTTGAAGGGTTTCTAAGGAATCACATAGCAAAGGTGTTGACCTTAGCTGTAATGCTCGGTATTAATGTCATGAGTTGTATTGAGCAAAAATCGTATCAAGTAGAAGAGAGAGTCGTATCGAGTAAGAAAGGGCTCTTGTGACATTTTAAGAAGAGACAAAAGGAGATTGAGGGATGAATTTGAAGGAACGAAGTAAAGATCAAAAACTATACAAGAGAAGGAGAAGAGATGACTTGCTTGCGACGAATGAAACTAAGGAAGCATTGCCGACTCTGGCCACGAATACGAGGGTACCTGAGGGCCTCGAACGCGCTTGCAGAGCTCCAAGCGACTTCTTCCGACGAGAGGAGGAGATGCAGTTGAAGATGACTAAGAAGACTAATGGGTTTCGTTGAGTAGTTGATGCACTATACTATTATGTAGGTGGAGACGAGGGCTTTGATGAGTGGGAAATTGACGTTCCTGCATATGAGTAGCTGACTATGTGCTTGAAGTTGGCTCAGCGTGTGAAGAGGAATATGGACGATTCTTGGTGCGTGGAATCGAATGAAGATGAAGACACAGGGCTTGACAGGGCTTCAATTGCAGAAAGGAGGAGTTTTCGAGCAAGGAGAGCATGAAAGCACTGATTGTTTGTGAGAGCCAGGGAATTGTACTTGCGTGACCAAGTGAAGGAGGAAGAAAAAGCTGCAGGATGCAAGATTATGTCTTAAATTAAACATTTCTCAAGTTTGTGTGTTGAGCATCTTTCGGTCTCGAGCAGTACAGTGTGAAAGGGAAGACCGTCTGATAATCTCGCAAGGGCATGGCATAGACTTTTAAGCTCGACCGTGAGTTCAGATTATGAAGTCAATCGTGGTGCTTCCTTTACAATTTTCTTGAGTGTTTAAGATGTTTAGTGGCAAGAAGGCTTTAACTGTGAGGTTAGAATAATATATTACTATGTTGTTATATCATAATATCGAAATTCATTAAAGTTAAATTCATAAAGAAAATTTAAATGACTCGATAATTAAAATCAATTAAGGTTAATTTTCATATTATTTAGAAAATTGTTAAAAATTTAAAGTGATATAATTCTAAATATTAATAAGAATCATAATATAAAATCAATAGTAACTAATAATAAGAAGACTTGAAGAAATAGATTATATGATTTAAAATAAATTAATGATTTGTATAATACATTAAAGATAAAATAAAGGTAACTTTGTAAGTTTTAAAATAATAATAATCCTTTATACATTTGATAATAGGTATCCATTAAAGAAAGGTTGGGAGAACAATTGACGTGGGAGTCATCAATGATTGATGTGAGTACTCATGTTCTTGTGCTGTAGTAATATTTTACTTCTTTTCAATCAAATGTATTTACTATTACTAGTTCTATTTATATCAATACATATCGATTATTTACGGTTCTATTAAATTTTTGTTCATATTGTAAGAATGACATGTGTACTCGATATTATTTAAATTTTAATGTATATTGAATCTTGTACAAGTTTATTGACTGCATACAAATGAGAATAAAATGATCATTATTAGATAGTGATTGTTATAATATGCTTGGCTAGAATGAAGTTCACCCCTTTATGGTATTAGCAGGAGAACGCTAAGGTACACAAACATATAAATGAAAAGAAGATATTAGTATTAATGTATCTTCATTGGTACAAATTTAAATGATGCTCCTGCTATATAGATTAAAAATATATTGATATGTAAACAATACAGTAAGATATGGAATGCTTACAAGTACTTTTAACGATCATATTAGAGTATAAACCTTCATATGCTCTTTACGTAAAGTTTAACTGACTTGCATATTATTTTTTTTTCCATTGTAGTACTATAACTTCCGTGCATGAGTATTCACTGACTATGATTAGGTCATTATTGATTTAAACTAACATATAAATTTTAACTATTTGATTAAAAGAACAACAATATAAGAAGAAATATTTATAACAGACGTGGATAACTAGAAATGAGGTAAACTTAACTGTATTGCTCTAATTTACTTTATTTAGTTGTTCTTTAATTTGTTAAATTTTATTTATAAAAAATGAATATAGAAAAATTTAATTTCTATTGTCCAATCTAAGCCTCTGGTCAGGTCACGACATCTGCAAAAGAGACCTCATTGGGAATAGTTTATAAAATTTATGTAAACCATAACTAAAAGAGCATACATATGCTGGTGATGAATAATTTGACATTAGTCAGTCCTTTGTTTATATAAGTTTGGTGCTTGTCCTTCCATTATACCTTATCAAAGCTATGCATTGATTTGAAGAATTCATGGTACATGAAAGGGTAATCACTATTTTGTATGGAGGGTCCAAGGTTCAGGAGGGCATTATCGCTCTCACGATCAAGTCGTGTTCGGACTAGTGATTTCATTGTACTTATTACATCTTCAACCAATAATTATATCTTTGGTATGAACATACTAAACATATATTGGGCTATAATTTCAACCTATCATCTTGTTGTGACCTTATTGACTTTCTCGATCTTGATTATCTTGAGATATCTTGTGAAGTCCTAAACGAGTAACTTAACAATATATGGACATGAGCTCTAACAAGCATTCAAAAAATTTGAAAAAGATCACAATCTCTTATGGGTTTTATAGTCCTTGGATCAAATCAAACCATCTGAGTTATTTCTCTCTTAATAGAAAGGAAGGAATCTATAAGTGTAGCATCAACTTTTCAGAACAAAGGGAGACACCCATGAAGACAACCTTTTCTTATGCGAATAAAAAAGGTTTGCACCTCAATTAATTTATCTCATATGGAGAAAAGTATGTTTCAATTGTCTAAGTTTTGAGGAGAATCGATTGATTCAAATGGATCAAAGAATATGAGAATTCATTTCAAGAGCTTAAGGAGTATTAAGTGTCACCCTTAAACTTTAATTGCCATTACTCAAGTGGGCCATTTTTTTGTACCATGGAGTTAGGGTGATGTCAATTAGCTTCATCATAATTTGGAAGGAGAATACAAATG